GTGGTAGTCAATGGATGTAACTGAGAGCCTTTGRATCTAATTCAAGATGGCCGCAGCACTTCTGTTCTGCTGCGCTTTATTTTTTAGCTAATTTTAGCTTTTGGCTAATGTTTAGTTATTTTACCTTTTAACTTCGGCTTTGCCTATTTATGCATTCAGCTAAAGTTCTGCCTTTTTGAGCTTTTAGCGGCAGTTTCCCCAGTTTTAGGTTGTGTTCTGCTGCTTTTAGCTTGTTTTGGTTTGTGTTCTTCTAGTTTTGGCTTTTTTTTCTACTGGTTTTACTTTGTGTTCTGTTGGTTTTAGTTTGTCTTCTGCTGATTTTAGTTTGAATTCTACTTTAGCTTACGTTCTGCTGGTTTTATCTTGTCTTCTGAATGTTTTAGCTTGTGTTCTGCTAGTTTTAGCTCATCTTGTAATGTTTATACTTATTTTCTGCTGGTTTTAACTTGTCTTCTAATTGTTTAGCTCATGTTCTGCTCATCAGTCAGCAATCACACTGCATTTTCATAGAAAATGGTGTTTGTAGTTTGTTTTCATAGTAAAACATCGTGCTAGCTAATACATACCTTTATTTGTTTAAAGCAATTAGCTGTTTTTTAAGTTTACTAATTACTTTTAGTGACTTCACCTATGAAGCTTTATGGATAAAAACTGCAGTAACGCTGTTTAGCTGCTTATAAAATGCTCAGACTTCTTGTTTTTGTAAAGCTCCATCAGTCGATTCAGAGCTGCCTGGAACAAGATGAGTCTTCAGCAGATGTTCCAAGTAAATCCATGTCTTTAGTTCAGAACGTTCTGAAGTATATTAGACGGAACCGTTCAGAAGATTGACCTGAAGTGTTGTTTTGAAGCTGCTTCTCCATCAAACACCTTCATTTTTCACTTCACTTCCTTTCTCTCAGACCTCTTTGTCAAACCTTCAGGCTGTGAAGACAGCGATTTGCACCGCGAGAATATTACTTTATTTAAAAACAGGAAAAATGACTTTTTTAAACAAAATGAAACTCCAACTGTTGTGTTCAGCTTTGTGAAAACTCACCACCATATGCTGAGTTATCCGTCGTAGACGTGTGAAAAAGGGAAAGAAAGCATGTGAGGTGTGATAATAAAGATGCACTTTCTATTATTATTATTCCTTAATCGTGAAGTATTGTTTCCATGGAAACCATTGAGCTTTCTGTTTTAGACTGTGGCTAAATGAAAACATCACAAGGTTACAGATAAACTTCCTCATTGTTTTCTGAGAAAGTACAAATTTAATTCTAAGGCTTAGAGACTGAAATATTTTCCTCGTTATTTGCAACATAATAAAACTGACAGGTTAGAAAAAGGATTTTAAATGCTTTGTTTGGTTTTAAGTGTCAACAAAACCAGATTACACTTCCAACTCGTACACTTTATTGTGTTAACGACAAAACTGATGTTCAGATGTTTTATTTATTCATCCATCCATCCATCCATCCATCCATCCATCCATTTATTTCCCCATCTATCCATCCATCCATCCATCCATCCATCCATCCATCGATTTACTCATCCATTCATCCATCCATTGATTTACCCATCCATCCATCCATCCATCCATCCATCGATTTACCCATCCATCCATCCATCCATCCATCCATCCATCGATTTACCCATCCATCCATCCATCCATCCATTGATTTACTCATCCATTCATCCATCCATCGATTTACCCATCCATCCATCCATCCATCCATCCATCCATCGATTTACCCATCCATCCATCCATCCATCCATCCATCCATTGATTTACTCATCCATTCATCCATCCATTGATTTACCCATCCATCCATCATCCGTCCATCCATCCATCGATTTACCCATCAATCCATCCATCCATCCATCCATCCATTCATCCATCCATTGACTTACTCATCCATCCATTCATCCATCCATTGATTTACCCATCCATCCATCCATCCATCCATCCATCGATTTACCCATCCATCCATCCATCCATCCATCCATCCATCGATTTACCCATCCATCCATCCATCCATCCATCCATCCATTGATTTACTCATCCATTCATCCATCCATCGATTTACCCATCCATCCATCCATCCATCCATCCATCCATCGATTTACCCATCAATCCATCCATCCATCCATCATCCATCCATCCATCCATTGATTTACCCATCCATCCATCCGTCCATCCATCCATCCATCCATCCATCCATTGATTTACCCATCCATTATCCATCCATATTTTTATTTTAACCTAAATGGAGAATTCCACCCTTTTCTGATTAAGACTTTTGACGATTAATTCTGTTCATAACCTTTATGGACAGAGTTTCTAGGTGCAATCAGGGGGTGGAGGGAGTCCAACACATTGACCTCAGGATTCCATCACTGCTATTTGCAGATGATGTGGTCCTGTTGGCCTCATAGTGCAGTGATCTTTAACTCTCACTGGAGCAGTTTGCAGCCGTATGTAAAGAACAAGATGGTGGATACAGGCGGTCAAAATTAATTTTCTCTGCAGAATAGCAGGACTCTCCTTTAGAGATAGGATGAGAAGTTCTGCTATCCAGGAGAGACTCAGAGTAGAGCTGCTGCTCCTCCACATCAAGATGAGCCAGTTGAGGTGGTTCATCTGGTTAGGATGTGTCCTGCATGTCTCCCTAGGGAGGTGCTCCAGGTATATCCAACTGGGAGGAGACCATTCAGCTGCAACCTTCATTCTGAGGCAACTGAACAACCTCTTCTCTACAACTACACCTTAAATCCATGTCCACCCTAACACTGACAGGATCAGAGACAATGGACAGCTCTGTTTGAGTCCAAGCCACACCAGAAATGAGCTTGAGAATTCAAACACAACTCTTGTTTTGGTTGTATAGGGACCCGATAGCAAGAGTGACGTGAAGAAGCAACAAGATGCCACCAACCCATGAGTCTACCACCTGGTTCCACGTTAGCTGGATGGCAGTCAATGCGGGGGCCTGGGTGCACCTAATCCTGGTGTTACAAAGTGGCTGTTGGGCATTACAGCAATCTGAGCGAGTCAACACTACTGTTGTAGTGTTGACGTTATCAATCACACTTTTCTCTGGAGGACATCTGTCGTCCATCTTTGCAAACCCGACATGTCCCACTGGTTTGGTGCAGCAGAAACAGTGATCAAACATGAGGAGCTGCTCTGTTTTCTGTTTTATTTTCCAACGTGGTCCAATAAGACGATCCAAAAAGACGATCAACACAAAATGTGCCACAGGAGCCGAGAGGAAGTTTTATTTACAGAAATAAAATAAAAAGGACAGTTTTATGTGCCCTTTGTGTAAGAGACCCAACTCAGTCCAATATGTGAGTTGTAAAAATGTCCAACTACACAGTTTTTGAAGTGCAAAATGCTTTTTTTTCTGCTTTGTGATATGAACGTTTCGCTGAACTGTTTGGGTTTACATTTTTCTCTGCTGTTTTTAAGACTTTGTGAAACAGAACAGAGAATTATCTCTTGGTCCAGATTCGTTATGTTCTCAGTTAATTTGCCACAGGCGTCCCGACAGACCCGTTAAATCCTCTCACTGTTAACCAGAACGAAACAAAGGAATCAGAATATTGGTGAGATGTCAGCCATTGTACAACCGTTCGCCTCGGTAACTGGAGTTACAGATGGGCAAAAAGTCAATCCAATTTTAATTGTCTAAAAATCGACAAACTCAGTCCATAATTCCTGTTTTTCTAAACTGAAGCCACGTGGCGAACACCAACCAAATAAGCAGGCTTTGAGAGGGACAGAAGATGTTGCAGGAGTCTCACAGGACTGGCTGTCCGCTGCCTGTACCTGCTGCTGCACATCAGTGTGTGATTATTTCTCAGTGTTTGTGATAAGAGCAGTCTATAGTGATCCAGGGGGACGTATAGATGCCTTCCAGAGATGTAACGTTTGCTGTTATTAGGGCTAATTAGTGTCAGGATGAATCTTAGATTCCTCAAAGGGTTCATCACATATTTGCATACATCGCCCATCTAATAATCAGCAGACCCACCTTCTGGAGTCCAAACTCTTTCTCAGTGGTTTTGTAACCATCAATAACTCTCTCTCAGGTTGTCAGGAAGTGTTTATTTATGCCATTATGCATTTTTACAAACAATCTGTTAGGATCAGACGTTGGTAGTTCCCTGTTACTTAATTAAATCAAGACACCCACTCAAAAATGACTGTTACTCTGCTCACAAATTAACTTTTAAATAAATGTTAATTTTGAATATTATTTTCATTGGTGTCTCTTTTTCAGCTCCAAAATAAATTGCATAATGTAATTCTGGTTTAGATTACAACATAATCTCAAACCTTACCAAATGAATCATTAGATCAGTGCATTTACTTCATTTTGCTTTTTTTTCACACAGAAATAAATAAGCAGACAGAGAAATAAAACAGAGTCTTTGTGTGCATTCATCAGTCTTTCCTTGAGGGACTTCCTTCTTCGATTTGTTTGAGGACAGATTAAAGAGGGATTACAGGTAAAGATCTGAGTACAACACACACAGTATCAGCTAACAAAGCTTCATCGACTGCCTTCCTGTCAGCCTGTTGTTCAATACTGTCTGCACACACTGCCTCATATCAAACGTCTGCATGTATACAGTCAAGCAAAGGTCAGCTCATGCAAAAATTAACCACGTAGTTAGAATATTTTTTCAGCTGCTCCGAAACAGTATTGATCTTTTCCACTGGAAACTCTTTAATTACAGGTCTGCTTTACTTTGCTGAATGATTCATTTTTCAAGAAAGCGGCTGCCTTCAAACTCGGGTCATGACTCTGTCTGATATGAGGTGTTAATAAAGGAAGCAGCCAGTCCTTATCCTCCCTGGAGGCCTACATGCTGACGGTCTGAGCTACTGTATATTAAAGGCCTTGAAACAACCACATATATTAGAAGACGATCATGTAGAATGATCGTATTTCAGACGTTCCTCTGAAATGCATCCCCTAATAAAAGAAAACAACTCCTCTCCTTACCTCCTCCGCTGTCCTTCTCCTCTTCCTCGATACTGTTCTTGATGCTGTCGTACTCCTCGTCGATGTTCTGGTTGCCTCGGATCTGGCTGAGCACGCGGCGGGCCTTCTGGGTGAGCCCWCGCTGGATCAGCCAGCGAGGGCTCTCCGGCAGGAAGAGGAACCCCAAGAACTGGAGCAAAGCGGGAAGCACTGACAGACCCAACATATACCTGGAGGTGGAGGAAACACAAAGAGGGAAACTGTTTATCTGAAAGGTCCACTCGCGTACGCAGACGATAAACCAGAAAACTTATTGTGCGAACCAACCTCCATCCACCACGATGCATGTAGCTGAAGGCGCCGTCGATGAGGCTGGCGGTGAATTGTCCCCCGGTGATGAAGAGCGTGTTGACGGTCACCAGCTGACCCCTGAGGTGAGGTGGAGACGCCTCGGCAATGTAGACCGGCACCGTCATGGAGGCGACACCTGGACAGCAGAAAATGGGCGGAGCAAAGCTGTCTTAAACAGCTACAACTCAGGTGTGGTAGCAGCTGAGAGTCATCCCTAACTTTATACTCTGAGCTTCCTAAAGGCCCCGTCACACTAGACAACTTATGCCTACTTATGAACGTCTTAAATACATCTACATTGAAGATGGTATTGAAAAAATCAACAAGAAGCTTCAGTTTGGCATGTACATAATGTAATTTGAACAAATTGATCAAATATATAAATTTATTAGCAATTTAGACATAAAATGTTTTATGAGTTGGCATAAGTGGTCTAGTGAGACAGAGCCTTTACATAGCAATATTACAATGAATTATTTCACTTTTACAAAACAAGGAGTAAATGGTTGACAGAGAGGTGTTAACTTTACAAAATGTCAAAATCTCTGTTTTAATTTTATTAAAATCATAATTTGCTACCACTAAGGTAGAATTAAATTACACAGATGAACAGAGTACACAGTTGAACCATGTAATCTAAATTTATTCAACTATAATTTATGTGTTTGTAGTTTTGACAGTGAAATTTATGATTATTTTAAGAATAAAATAAACAAATTTAACTAATATTTGTACTCATTATTTTGTTTGTGGTGGATGTAAGGTGTAAAACAGGGCTATTCAATTGGCCAATTGTTTTATTCATCTCTTAGGTACAAACCCTCAGTTTTCTACTTGAATTACTGTAAGATCTTTTAGTTAAACCTAGATATGTTTGGTATCTACAGAAACATCAGAATCGTGGCTACAAGCTGGTTAAACATTTCAATGAACACTCAAGACAGTTAAAACTACAAGCAGTTGAAGATAAAACTATGAAAGTGAAAATAAAATTGGTTTAAAATTTTGGCAAGTCAGAGATGTTAAAAATAATACATGTGTTAATTTTAAGATAGATAGACCTTTATTGTCATTGTACAGAGCACAATGAAATTATAGTTCAGAACACCCATTCAGAAGAAGACAGAACATAACAAGCATGGGAGAACAGGTGCCCTGGGTCATGCAGCCACAGACCCTGCACAAAGCAAGGATCATGAAAACATCATGAGGAGGCGCAACCCTTAAAAGAAAAAAACTAAAAACCACACAAGGGACGATGAGGAAAAAACAAAACATCATATATCAACAATGTGACACACTATGGTGTTTATAAAAAAAAGACCCTCAGTCGACGTAAACATCCAGGAAGAATTTAGTCCAACAGCTCAAGGCCATGTAGGAGAGAGCCAAATTCTGTAATCAGTTATTTGGGAACAGAAGAGAATGTTTTGAGCCAGGCAGACAATAACAATTTTCCATCAGCCTTAATGTCCGCTGGTACCTCTCAATGTGGCAAATCCAGTCAGACAAATAGTGTGGACCAATCCCGCCGAGCTGTCAGCTTTCTCCAACATCAATTCCATCTGGCCAGCAAAGTCCAGGGACCACAGCCGGTCTGCGACCCTCAGCAGAACCGCTTGCAGGCTGAGTCCAGCTCACTCAAGGCAAAAGCCTGAGTGCTTATAGTGTTTTATTATCACTACATTTATTACATAGGGTTCTGTATGTTGTATTCCTGATTAAATGCAGCAAAATAAACCATTTCAAAGGAAGAAATACTCGATTTATTTACATAATAAATTTGGATGTTCGACCCCT